AGCTAAACTCGCCGAAAGAGGCACCATCACAGAAGCAAAGCAGCTGACAGTTTGACACGTTGGATGTGTCGACATTCCCAATCAGTTCTGCCCTTAAGACAAGGGCTCAAGTCTCTGATAGCATCATACAGGGAACTGTAGATGTTGATAGTAGTGTGTAGGGTCTAGGGTTGCGGTTTGTATAGGCTTCTGATGCTAGTTCGTGTTCAGGGTTTACCTCAAGGACATCGTTTATGTCGGCGATTGTGGCGACAGGCCAGCATCACGTCGTGGATCAGGGCAGACGACTGTCCACCTCATTCGCGGCGTTGCTCTCCCTCATCATGCGCTTCAGTCAGGAACTCGTCCACGCAAGGAGCCGTCAAGAGTCTGATCGACGCGCTAGACTCTGCGGAAGCTGCTGGTATGACCCAGGCCGCGCTTGCCAGCCCCATCGCGTCCGTGATCGGGATGTGGGAGGACGTGGCCACTGCCCGTGTTTCGTGTATTCCACACGTTCCCCAAAGCCATCGCGGCGAACCTGGCCACCACGAAGTGGGATTTAGGGTTTAGGGTCTAAAGTTAGGGTTCAGGGTTTAGGGTTTAGGCTTTAGGGTTTAGGGTTTAGGGTTTAGGGTGAGTGGGTAGGGGGGGGTAGGGGGCGGGGTAGGGGTGGGGGGGGGGGTAGGGGGGGGGTTAAAGGGGGGGGGTAGGGGGGTTGGGGGGGGGCGCCCGAAAAAACGCTGATTTTGTGAGGGCGCCTACCCCTTGTGCTGAACCGGCCTGTTTACGCTGTGCGGGTGGCGCGGTCCTCCACGAAAAAATTGTGCACCGACCCCCCCCCCCCCCCCCCCCCCCGCGTTTTGGGGCGGGTAAGGAGGGAAAGGGAGGTTTTCACCTCCTCAAACCCATCCAACACGCCGCCAGGGTCGGCGGACTTGACATTTCTAGGTTCTGAAAACTAGGGCGAAGCCTCCAAACTGTAAACCCTCAAGCCCGAAACTCTAAACCCTAAAACCCGACGCCCCGATACCTGTTTTGCGCTAAACCGGCCCTCATCTCGAAACCCTAAGCTACTCTTATGTGTGTCTCAGCCGATCCGGAAACCCCGAAAGTATCGGTTCAGGGCTTCTTGGCCAGTGGTACCCTTTTGCCCTTTTGGGGTTCAAGGTTCCCTTACCCAGACCCCTGGGGGGACCCAAAAAGTACCTAAACCCTAAACCCTAAACCCTAAACCCTAAACCCTAAACCCTAAACCCTAAACCCATCACCCCAAAAATGTTCCTAAGAATGACCCAGAACCTTGCGGAGGTCAAGGGTTTTGAGTCTAGGGTTTAGAGCTTAGGGTCTAGGGGGGGGGTCTTCCCGAAGCCCTATAACCCGGCTTCCGCAACCCCCCCCCCCCCCCCCCCCCAAAAAAAAAAAAAAAAAAAAAAAAAAACAAAAAAAACAACAGCGCCTCTCCCCCGCAAGCCCCGAGTCTCAAAACGGACCCTTAACCCTGAACCCTGAAAAGAACCCTTAAAAGACCCAAAATCCCTCGACGCTATGCCTAAACCCCTAAACACTGAGCTCTCAAACCCTAAGGCCCAAACTCTAAACCGCATCCCCTTGGTGGGCCCATTGGTGCCCGTTCCCAGTTTTTTTTCGTCAAGGCTCCCTTATAGAAAAAAGTAACCAACCCAAATAAGGGTGCCCTTGACATAATCTAGTTACTGGGCCCTAAGCCCTAAACCCTAAACCCTAAACCCTAAACCCTAAACCCTAAACCCTAAACCCTAAACCCTAAACCCTAAACCCTACACCGAGTCCCAAAGCCCCCAAAGCTTAACACCCTGGGCTTCTCGTTGAAAGGCCCTTGTCCAGCAGCTGACCTGAAGCCACGAAGCCATCGGGTCAGGACTTTTAGGGTTTAGGGTTCAGGTTTAGGGTTTAGGGTTTAGGGTTTAGGGTTTAGGGTTAAGCTCCAATCCCAACACCCGAAACCCGAAGAATCCGAAACAGGGTTTTCCGGGTTAGCGCTGAGGGTCGTGGGGTTTCTGGTGTTCAGGGTTGGGGTATGGTTTAGGGTTTTGGGGATTAGGCTTGAGGATCTGTTTAGGGGTTTGGGTTTCAGTAGAAACGAGACCTTCAAGTCAGGGGGGGGGGGGGGGGGGGTTGGTGGTATTTGGCTTTTAGATTTTCGAGCTCAGGGGCATATGCCCACGTCTACCTAGCTGAAAGATAACTCTGGAGCTTTGGGCGGTTGTGGAACACATCCGCCCGAATGCCAGACCATGGAAATTGGAAGCATCATGCTTTGTGCTCCGGCCCGGTCTAGGGTTTAAGGTTCAGGGTTTAGGGTTTAGGGTTTAAAGGCGGGTTTGTAGGGATTTGTAGGGTCCAATGGGATTTAATTGGGGCTGCACAGGTTGTGTAGATTCGAGTTGGGTTCAAGAGGCTTCAAGAGAGCTTCATGGGATCTCACCGTGCTTGATAGAGTTAGTGTTAATAGGGTTTAAGCAGGGTTTTAATCGGGTCTTTAGGGTTGATCAACCTTCAGTGCTTTGTGGAGGGACCTTAATCTTATCCCCTCTACAACCCCTGTAGATACCGCACATCGTCCGTATATACCTAAGTTACCTAAAAAGCCCCCCATGTAGCCCTGACAAGGCTTTAGGGTTTAGGGTTTAGGGTTTAATCTTAAGGTTTAGGGGTTTCTGGCTAACACCAACGCCACGCGGCCGGGGAGGGGTTTGGGGTTTAGGGTTTAGGGTTTAGGGTTTAGGGTTTAGGGCTTAGAGTTCAGGGTTTAGGGTTTAGGGTTTAGGGTTTGCAGCCGATCGGGGGCCAGACTACTCCCATGCTTCCAGTTGGTCTTCAATGCTGGTTTCCGAGAGTTGGGAAGGGGTACTAAACCCCATTTCCCCTACTTCCCCTATTCAAACCCTAAACCCCAAACCCAAAACCCTACCCCCCCCCCCCCCCCCCCCAATTCCCCGAAATCCCAAAAGCCCGAACGCCCGAAGACCAAGCCGAATCACTCACTGCATACCAGACGTCATCACCTTTTAGGCTTTGGAGCTTTGGCTGTCGGGTTTCCGAAACCCCAAACCCCAAACCCCAAACCCGAAACCCTAAACCCTAAACCCGAAACCCGAAACCCGAAACCCGAAACCCGAAACCCTTACCCTGCAATCTTGCCGCATCCTTAGATCTGCGCCGAGATCTGTGTACTGCAACCCCCCCCCCCCCACCACTCTGATCGTTAAGGTCTAGGGTTTAGGGTTTAGGGTTTAGGGTCTAGGGTCTAGGGTTTAGGGTTTAGGGTTTAGGGTTTAGGGTTTAGGGTTTAGGGTTTAGGGTTTTAGGGTCCAGGGTCTAGGGTCTAGGGTGTAGGGTTTAGGGACTAGACAGAATGAGATCATCGAACACGAAGCCCGGTAGGCTTGCTAGGCTGGGCAGGTTCGAGGGTTTAGGGTTTAGGGTTTAGTGCCTTAATGGTCTTGTTGCACCCCCTCATGTGGACGAAATAGGCCCGTTCTTCCCAACGGCCGACGCCACTTCACAAGAAGAGGCATTGATTCGAAGAGAGCGACGGGACCCGAATGGCGTCCCACGCGGGAGATGGGAGTTCTTTCTTACACCGAGGCAGGTCTCTTTGAACTCTAGGCTCGAAACCGTAAAAAAAGGTTTACGTTTCTACCGGCTTAGTACAAATCTGCAAGATACAGCCGTTGATTTCCTCGGGCTTTTCGGGAAGTTTGGGTGCGACATCCGAAACTGTATTTGCTCAGGGGCTTGGTCTGGAAAGCTTGACGTTAGGGCCTCAGTGTGGGCCCTAAACCCTAAACCCTAAGCCGGCGAACCTGAACCCTAAACCCCAAACCCTCAACCCTTTGGCAAGGGGACCTGGATTCATGATGAGACGTGCCCTCCACACATTGCCGCCGCAAGAGTAGCCCCCCCGCAGTTGGGGGATACCTAGCGCCTTCTCGAGACAGAAAGAAACGGTTTAGGTTTTTGGGTTTGTGGCTTTGGGGCTTTCGGGTTTAAGTATTGTTGTAGGGTCTTAGGGTGGGCCGCCATTCCCTTCCTTTAGGGTCTAGGGATTGAGTTCAGGTTTCGGGTTGACGGCTTCAATTCCCGGATTTCTTTCCGGGGTCTGGCGTTTGAGAGTTGCAGGCTTCTCTTTTGCCACCCGATTTCGAGTGGCTTGGGTTTGGCGTGTCAGGGTTGGCGGGATAGGATTAAATGAAGGGGTTTAGGTGTTTAAAGGGTTGGGGGGGCTTCGGTGGTTGGGCGTTAAGAGGGTTTTGGGTTCAAGCGACCCTAAACCCTAAACCTTAAGCCCCAAACCCTAAACTTTAAACCCCACACCCTGGTTCCAAAAGCTTTGGAGTGGCGGTTGCTTAGGGGTGTCATGTGTCAGGCCCTCGCGCAATCTGTCGCCGTCCCCCCCCCCCCCCCCTCTGTGTCCCCCAAGAGCCCTAATTCCTAACTACTGCCTTCACCAAACCCTGAACCCCAAACCCCAAACCCCCAAAACCTTTACACCCTAATCCTCAAGCCCCAAACCCCAAACCCCAAACCAAAACTTCATTCAAACTGTAGGTTTAGGGTTTAGGGTTTAGGGTTTAGGGTTTAGGGTTTAGGGTTTAGGGTTTAGGGTTTAGGGTTTAGGGTTTAGGGTTTAGGGTCTCCGCCCTCTCAGTTTGCCACGCGGGCTCGAGGCGTCTGTTAAGGGATATCAGGAGGGACCTCCGAAAGGGACCCTTAATCTTATGTATCCTCCACCAGCCCTGTTTATGCACCTTAAAGAGTCCCTAGATACCCAAAAGCAGCCCCTACATCTTTGTCATAGCTGGGTAACATTTTACACTTTTAAGGGTACTTAAACCCAATAAGGAATACATTAATCTTACTTGTTTAATATTATCCCAACAATGAACATATCCTTAAGGTCCCTTGTAAGGGTACTTCGTTGAGTCCCTAGAGTCTTGGCGCCCGGGAGCCCTGGCGTGCCGGTCAAGGACCTCGGAATGCCAGGCGCAGTTTAGGGCTGTGGAGCGTTTAGTTTTGGGGCGCGGGGGGGCGGGGGGGGGGGGGAGCCCCGCAACCCTGGGTTTAGGGTTTCGGGTTTGGGGTTTTGGGTTTAGGGCTTTGCCCTGTAAGCCCTAAACCCTACACTGCCTTTCCTGGCGAAAAGGTGTCGGGATCTCATTGCACGTGCCGGCGCAGGCTGCGATGCCCGGGACTGGGACCTTAAACGTGGGTTTCCTGATTTTGTAGTTCCTGATTTTGTCGGGTTTAGGGTTTGGGGTTTGGGGTTTAGGGTTTAGGGTTCTGACTTTGTAGGATGTTGTAGTCAAGACTGGGCGGTTATTTCTCCCTGGCTCTTCAAGAAGAAAGCCGAGCCGTTGTGAGTTCTCGGTAGGGTTACGATGCAGCAGGGGTTCTGAAGTTTAGGGTTTAGGGTTTGAACCCGTGGCGTAAGAACCCACTTCGGAAACTCTGCACCTGGAACCCCAGAAGCCCTATTGTAGAACCCCCGTCCCGCCCCCGACCCCAAACCAGAAATCCCCAAAATTCCGTAACACCCCAAGTCCAGCATCCCAGACTCCAATCTCATACCCCCCCCCCCCCCCCCCCCCCCCCCCCCCTAAACCCTAAACCCTAAACCCTACACCCCTCCGCCCCTGCACCGGCCAGGCTCTGAGTCGGCTCAATGAGGACATGTGCCGGTGAGAAGCAAGACGCCCACCCCATACCCGATGAAACTGATTTAGAGGTCTAGGGATTTCGGGTTTAGGGATTAGGGTTGAGGGTTTAGGGCTTGGGATTTGGGATTTGGGGTTTTGGGGATTAGGGTTTTGGATTCGGCTTTTTAGGGTTGAGGGGTTGAGGGTTTTGGGGCCTTCGAGATCCGCTGTATTTCACGTGCTAGTAGAAGTACAAATTAAACATCATGCGTATTTTGTGGCTAAGGTATGTTGTATGTATGTATGTATGCATGTATGTATGCTTGTATGTGTGCATGTATGTGTGCGGGATCCAGGTCTTAGCCCTCCCAACGAAAGTGGTAGCTGCTACTTTGTGTCCCGAGCCTCATGCACCCTTCACGATCCGATGGGGCTCCTTCAGCAGTCTCCGGTATACCCCACTCCCGATCCGAAGGATGCTTGGATTTCGTGAGAATCCCAGCATCCAAGTCTTTTTTCTAGGTCGCTACAAATCAGGTCCTCTCTTGGAGTCTTGGGGTGAAGATGGTCAGGCTTTGCACATGCACACGTGGATCTGCTGAGGCCTTAGCACCCCTCAAATCAGGAATATACCATATCTCATAATAAGGGTCCTGAGGCATACCTTGCTATTAGGGGTGTTGGGCTCTTTTGGGGAGCTCTAGACTCGAACCCTAAACCGTCAACCTAGAGCCCCAAAAGCTTCCCCTCAGCTTCCCGAAGTTCCCTAGGTACCGACCTTTCATGAACCCCCCTCCCTTAAGAACCCTCTCTTCCCCTAAACCCTAAACCCTAAACCCTAAACTTCAAACTTCCTAAACCCTTAAGAACCCTGTCCAGCGTCCACTCCGGGCCAGGAGCTCGATGGCTTCTTGCGCGACGATGCGGATGCCGGCGAGCGCGACAACGCCGCGCGGAGGATCAACCTGACCCTCGACGCGCTGGCTCGAGCCGAATCTGCTTTGGCTTTAGGGTTTTGGGTTTAGGGTTTTGAGTTTAGGGTTTTGGGTTTAGGGTTTTGAGTTTAGGGTTTTGGGTTTAGGGTTTTGAGTTTAGGGCTTAGGGCTTCTCACAGGCTTTCTTGAATCCTAAACCCCCGAAACGCGATGGGCTTGCAAGTCATACGGGGTTTCAGAGCCCCCTAAACCCCTAAGCCCTCTGCGTGAGGTTCAGTCTCGGACTCTTAGTCGGCGGAGGCTTAGGATCTAGGGTCTACACCCCTGAACCCTGAGCTCGAAAGTACAAGTACAATGTCAACCACCCAAAATATCCACTCAAATTGCATAGGCCCCGATACTAGGTTCTTGGTGAATTCGGGTTTCACAACCCCAACGCCCAAACCCTTCTTGTTCTCTGTTTCCCATGCCTGCTCAAGGACTCTTGGAATTGGATGGAGCCGTCCAAATGCCTTCTGACAGCAACAGCTTCAGTGCATAAACGCCCAAGAGGTCCTTACTCTCTAAGGGTAGTTTCACTGGGCCCTTAACCTCCTTCACAGAAGGGTCCTAAGGGTACATAAAGTATCCTGTTAAGGGCCCAGAGTAAGGGACCATGTAACTGCCCCAAGAACCTCCCGGTTATGGAAAGCCGGGCCTGGCTACTCGTAAGGCCCCGAAACCCTCAAACAGAGCCGAGTCGGTAACCTTCGATGAGGTTTTTTGCGACCCGTGAAAGTAGGTACCCGGAGCCATCTTTCTTGCCTTTGTTGGGTGCCCCGGTTTAAAAAGCACTCCGCGTACAGTCTGGGACATAGTAAGAGTAGACGCGTCTCGGCATCGTGGTTCGTATTGATTAGAGAAAAAGTCCGGCGAGAGCAAGCATGCTTGAGGCACGGTTCCGGGAAGATCATGCAAGCCTGTGCACTGCTTTCACGCGAGGTATGGCTCCTTCTCAAACGGGATCAAGACATGCACGTCGGATTTGGACTTCACCTTTCGCGGAAGCACGGACAAGCAGGCTGCCGTCTCCCTACTGCAGACGCTTGATAGCAGAGGGGCAGCCTATATCTAAACCCAAGAAAGAACCTAAACCCCAAACACCATGAGTTAGAAACCCTAAGCCCTTGGGTTTTGGGGGGGCTCGTATAGGGGGCCCTGAAGCATGATATAGGGGCCTTGAAAATTAGAATAGGGTTTTGGGGGGGGGGGGGGGTTCTTATCGTATCTTTGCAAAGGGACCAAGGGATTTCCGATTAGTAATTCTTCCGACCCCTGCATATATATATATATAGAGAGAGAGAGAGAGTATATATATAGAGTATATAACATATATATATATAGAGTATATAAAATATATATATATATATAGAGTATATGTATATATATATATATATGTAGACCCTAAACCCGAAACCCTAAACCCTAAACCCTAAACCCAAACCCGAAACCCTAAACCCTAAACCCTAAACCGTAAACCCTAAACCCTAAACCTTCCCTCAAACCTCGGCTCTCGGCTGAATCTTGCCCTCACCCTTTCCTCAAGGCTCAACCCCGAAGCTGAGTTGTCAATTCCGCAGACATACAAACTCCAGGACCATGTAGGTCTTAGGGTTTAGGGTTTAGGGTTTAGGATAGTGCGCGTGCTCGGGCGCACTAAAGCTCCGCGAAAGGAATGTTTTGCATAATTGCTTGCGATCGATGCATGTCGGGACCACGGATTTGAGGCCAACTAGTGGTACTGGTCTTAGGGTTTAGGGTTTAGGGTGTAGGGTTTAGGGTTTTAGGCTCCTGCAAATTCTGGCTTCGGGGTTCAGAGGGGATCCTCTCTGGATGAGCATTCGCAGCTTGGGATCCCACCTTCTTGGCGACCGAACCCTAAACCCTAAACCCTCAACGGTTTCGGGCTTCGGGGACCCTGTCTTAAACGGTGTCCGAGGAGGGCTGCATGTTGCTGTTGCTGTTCCCTATGCCCAAATTAGGGTTTAGGGCTTCGGGTTTCCCAAACCCCTTTCTCTGAAAAGATGCCGGTGGCCCTCCAGGAAGTTCGCGTCCTGCGCCAAGACCTTTGGTTTCGACAACATCACGACGATCTTCCAGGCACGTAGCCCTAGACCCTACACCCTAAACTTCCTTAAGTTCTAGGCTAAACCCTCAACCCTGAACACCTTCCCTACACCTTCAACCCTGAACACCTTCCCTAAGTTCTAGGCCTAGACCCATCAACCCTCAACCCGCCTACACCCATAAACCCTGAACACCCTGGGTTTAGGGTGTGTTTAGGGTTTAGGGTTTGGGGTTTGGGGGTTTTTTGGTTTGTGGGATCCAGGGAGGGGGGCTGAGGGTTTCGGAGTAGAGGGGTTTAGGGCCTTGGTCTCTTAAGGGTTTAGGGGCTTACCATGGTTTGCCCTAAACAGCCAGAGCACTGAAGGCCCTGAGGCCTTCAAGTACACCCTACATCCCTGCAACGCTCTTTGACACCCACACTAACGCCTAAGCAAACATGAACGCCCTCCCAAAAACCCAAATTTAACACCTCCCCCCCTTGCCCAACCGAAAACAACAAACAAAGCAAACGCCCTAAGCAGCAGATCCTTAGAACCCACCCTGAAGCCTTCAGATACCACAACACGAGCCTCTAAATTTTGAGTGCGCCTCATATTCGAAGACCGGAGATTCCCTCTTTGGTCTTTCAGGGCTTGGGGTTTAGGGCTTAGGGTACCGGGTTTGGGGTCGAGGGCTTGGGGTTGAGGGCTTGGGGCTTGGGGCTTAGGGGTGTAAAAGGGTTTAGGATTTCCCTAAACCCTAAACCCTAAACCCTAAACCCTAAACCCTAAACCCTAAACCCTAAACCCTAAACCGTGGCTTAGGATTTATTCAGGGTGTTGAGGGGTTTTTAGGGCTGGGAAGGCCCACCTGCCCCTGCTGAAGCTCACTGACACCAAGGACAACATCGAGGCACCTTAGGGTGCCCTTAGCCTGCATCGACCTTTCGGGAGGAGGCAGTCTTTGAAGGCCCTAAACCCTAAATCCTAAACCCGAAACCCGAAACCCTAAACCCCTAGCTTCTAAGGGTTTAGGGTTAAGGGTGCGACCTTCGGAAGGCAGGGTGTTTGGCTTTGTGGGTGTAGGCTGTAGGGTGTAGGGTGTAGGGTTTAGGGTTTAGGGTTTAGGGTTTAGGGTTTAGGGTTTAGGGTTTAGGGTTTAGGGGACTGTATTTTGGGATGTTTCCCCTTTTCCTAACAGTCCTGAATCGTCTTAAATAAGGATTATAGTACCCCCCCCCCCCATTCATAATCCCGATTAAGGACTGTTAGTAGAAGGGGCAAGATCCCAAGCTGTGCTTCTGACAGGCGCCTTGGTTTAGGGCATAGAGTCGGGCCTCCCCCCCCCCCCCCCTTCACCCCCCGAACCTAGCCTTAAGCCCCCCACCCTAAACCCCAAAACGGAAGGTTGACCTCTGCGTGAACAACGAGCTGGGCATCCGAAATTCTGCGCTTCTCGGGGCGCGCCTCGCTGTAGACTGAATTGACGTAGAACTTGGGTTTTTCCCGCTTGTAATAACAGTCCTTGAAAAGGTCTACTGGAAAAGGAGTGTTAGTATCAGTGCGAACATCCGAATGCACAACGCTAAATGCTTTTTGCAAACAGCTAGTAAGGTTTGAGGGCTTTCGGGTTTTAGGGCTTGGGGTTTAGGGGTTGGCTTGCCGTTGGTGGGGCTGAAGTTTTTTTGCAGTTGGATGCTGCTTTCTTCATACCCGAAACCCGAAACCCTAAACCCGTATGCATCCGGACTGTCGGGACTAGGTATTGCATGCACGAAAAGCGTTCAGAATGTGTCGGGCTTAGGAGTGGGCACGATTGCTGCGGGGAGGTTGTTCTCAGTGGAAAAAGTATGAAAGTTCTACCGCCATCTCATGCATGATCTATGGCCACTAATAGTGACACCAAAGTCTATGGGGGGCCCTGTCAGCATACACGCCCCCCCCCCCCCCCCCCCCCCAAAGATCTATGCCATACCTTATGAGCATACCCCCCAAGCCCTAGTGAACCCCCAAACCTTAGTGGCTCACTCCCCGTAGCTCTATAGCAAAGACTCGAGCAGGGGCATAGGTAGGGAACCTCTAGTTCAGGGTTGTCATAAGTTTGGGCCTGGGGTTTTGCGGGCTTATGTTTGGAGATATCGGTTTTAGGGTTCAGGGTTTAGGGTTCAGGGTTCAGGGCTTAGGGGTGCAAGCAGGGTGTGGGAGCAAGGTATTGCAAGTACGATGTGCGCGTTCTCCAGCTGGGCCGCTTGGTCAAAGACTGGGCGAAGAGGCATGAGATCGTGGGCACAACAGATGGCTTCCTCAGTAGCCTCTTGGCGGCAAAACTTGAAACTGGCTGTTGAGGGTTTAGGGTTTAGGGATCCGGGTCCCTAAGCTGAAGCACAAGATCTTCCTTTAGTCTCCAAGCCGTAAGCTATAGCCCTCCACTTATTTGAAGCCACCCCACCCCTGAAATTCTTCATCCCAAGCTGGTTGGAATCTGGGCCCACAAGCCCTAAAGCCAAAAGATCCAAAAAGAAACGAAAGCCCCCAAACCCCCAAAACCCTCAACCCAAGAGCCCGAAAGTCCTAAACCCGAAATCCCTAAAGCCCCAAAAACCCCAAAACACTAAGCCCAAAAGCCCCCAAGCCCTAAACCCTAAGCCCAAAGCCCCAAAACCCCGAACCCTAAACCGATATCCCAAAAGCCCCAACACCCTGAGCCCAAAAAACGCCCAAAATCCCCCCAAAATTTCGCAAAACCCTAAACCCCAAACCCCCAATTCTGGCAGCCGCATGAAACTCAAAGCCCTATCCTCCAACATGCCTCATTTCCTGGGACCTAGAGTAGGCCCATGTTCCCCTTTTTTTGGGGTGTAGGGTTTAGGGGGTTTAGGGTTTGGGGTTTGGGGTTTGGGGTCTAGGGGACCAAGGTCCTTAACCAGGCCCGGGCCCTTTGCCCGTAGGAGGGCCGTAGGGCCCGTAAGGCCCGTAGAGCCCGCAAGGGCCGTACAGGCCGTCAGCCCGTAGGAGCCCGTAGGAGCCCGTAGGAGCCCGTAGGATCCCGCAGGAGCCCGCAGCCCGTAGGAAGGAATCTGCCGCAAGCCGAGCTGTGTCCCGCCCAGGCTCAAAGCCCGTACTTGATCCTAAATATGCTTTAGCTTGTCATGGTACCAATACAGAGATGAGATGCTCAACAAGCATTTCGCTTCGAAGATCTCGCATCATCTCATGTAGGTTAGTGAAGCCATGGAAGAGATCAGATATGACGGTGCCTGCAGCGTATGTGGGAGAAAGTTGAGCAAGAAAGAAACTGTCATCGCATCGGTGCTGGATGTGTGCGGCTGGCTCCAAGTGAAACATGACATCATGAGATGCCGGAATTTTGAATGTTCTTTGAACTGTGCCGCCGTGGCATACAACTTCGTATGCAGTGGCTCGGAGTACGTCTTTTCATGGGGGCAGGAGGAGTGCATGCAATATTTTTTTTTGACTTATGCCTTCGGGGTTTCTATACGCTGGCTGCGACAATTCAGTCGTCGTTTGATCTTCCAGTGGTCTTCCTTTGCGGGGGAAGCCAAAGTTCACTTTCTCGAAGCTGTTGGCTTGGGCAAGAGTGACATTGTGCCAGACAAGGCCAAGTTGAAGTTGCTTCGGGCGTGGATGCTGTGGCGTTTGGTTACTTGGCAGGTTTGGTATATTATATGTGATATGTTGTATATTAGAAAATACTTGAGAAGCATTATATCAGATATATATATATATAATCATAACAATATAATTATAATCATAATGAGAACAGTCATAATCATAACAATAATAACAATAACAATAATAATAATAATAAACAGAATAATAATAATCATAATAATAATAATAAGCATCAGTTATAAAATATGTATTGAGTAAGACATATAATATAGTGTGGAGAAAAAATGCAATTATATGCATATATATATATATACACATACATATATATATATATGTAAATAAATAAATAAATATAAATATATATATATATATATATATATATTTATATTATTTGTAGTTACATATCTTTATATTTGCTCGCAGCCCTTCCCGGTTATGCTGGTTGCGCCGCGTGTGTCTGATCCCCACATGTTCGACCCAGTAGCACTTGCGGTGTCTTGCCCGGGCGCATCCCGTATGGGTTTTGGAGCTGCGTGCTGGGTGCCTCCATAAGGTTCAGTGTTGGTTCGCAGAACTGGAAGCCTTTAGCCTTCAGAAGAAGTAAGGTCATTCGATGGAGGCAACATGCGGCCAGAAAGGAGGGTGAAGTGCAAGTGCGTGTGAACCTACGGAAGCCACTGCCGACGCTGCTTGCAGAGGCGTGGGAGTGGTATCCTGCGCACATGTTGAAGAGAAGAGTGGACCTAGCTCGGTCGAAACAGCTGGACTTGAGCGCCGTCGTTATGGACGGCAACGCTAAGCTGTCAGGCAGGATATGCGGCCGTCCTGCGGCGGAAATCATCGACAACCGTTCGCTGGACATGTTCACCGTGACCTGTTGCAGCGCGGAGCCTCAGTTCAAGAAACGGCGTTGCATGAAACACGACACGAGCCATGCTCCAGCAGATCCGTTGCCCGAACAGTCTGAAGTCATTACTGCCCATCGTCGTGTTCGAAGAGCAGGACAAGGGGAACTGTATGATGTCTTTTTGAAAGTGAAGGATGCTCCAAATTTGGCAGGCCGATGGGTCAATGCGTCCCTTGTGACAGCCACGCAACTACACGAGTACTGGCGAAAATTGGAAGCCTCTGGCTTCGTTCCGGAAAAGTCGGCAGCTGAAGATCTGGCTGCAAGCAGCTGCAAAACCCACAAAGAGGTCCGGCAGGGCACGAGAGCGCAAGTGCAACTGGGCAGCACATGTGTATTTCCTTTGATTGTTTAAGAGTGTCCAGGTTCAAGACTGAAAGACATAGGGCTGCTGCGTTTTTCTGTTGGTCGAGGAGAGCTGGGCGGTGTAACGGGTTTCTTTTCGCAACGACGCCATGCGGGCACATTCTGCACATGAAGCCGTATGTGGGTGCAGAATCATTGTCGCAAAGGTTTTTTTTTCTAGGAGAATTGGTGGAGGCTGTTGGTGAGATCAATGTGCTGATCCACGATGACAGTTGTCATCTCCGGCGTTTCTCGGAGAGGAATGGTGACCGGACAGAATTGACAAATCGTCTAAGACACCCGCGGATTCGGTATATACTTGACCGGATGCACGCCACGGGTCATAGCGACCCGTGGTGTATCCGAGAGTGCCATCCGGACGCACCGCAGAACGCTCAGCTTGTGCAAGATCTGAATACGTCTGCAGCAGAGGTCCTCAACAGTCTCATGTCCAGGCATCGACACGCCGTGCGCTGCATCCGTTCGCGCTACGTGCGGGATTTCTTCTTGCAGGAGGTAGCAGATTCCCGCAACACTGTTGCTGGACCAGAGCCGGCAGGACGGGCACGTGTGGGGGAGCGGCCTGCAGAGGCGGCGCCGCTCACGCCGCCTGGAAGGGCACGAAGACGGAGAAGGGCGTTGGGGCCTGCAGGCCACATAGAACACACACGCACACACACATAGATTATAAGAGTACACCGTACACCGTAACTTCTGCATATAGTATGTGTATTGACTGTAGTTCAACCGATACCTTTGCAGGCGCGGATGCTGTCCCTGCGCCAAAACGGCGGATTCGCGTGGCGGCTTCCAGGAGTGCTGGAGAAGGCGGGTCTCCGCGTTTCGAGGGTAGCAAACCTATAGCAGGGTTAAGCAGTTCGGGCATGTGTCTTCGATTTGGGGTTTAGGGTTTAGTAGTAGGGTTGCGTGAGGTATGGGGTGCTCTGAAGGGTGGCGTGCGCAGTCCCGGCCGACCTCCCTTATGGATGGCCTATTCACCTAGTTGCCTAAGGCCTAAACCCGGAAAGCAACAGTCCTTTGCTGTGGACTCTTTTATTTGGAACCACAAAGTTCCAAAATTCGGTTTTGCTGCAGCTGCCATTTTGGCTGCGACATGGAGTGCGCTTGAGGGCTAAAAGCAAGGCCTTCGCCGGTGACTTGGCCACAGCATGGCAACGGCTGCCATGCACCAGGCCTGGGACTACATAGACAGTCACTTCGACGAGAGGGGGTTGTTTGGCGAAGCAGGCGGAGACATGGTCGCGCGACTGAGCGCTCAAGTTTGCGCGCACCCGTTTCCATATGGGATGGCTCTCCAGACTGCTCTCCTTGGATGCGTCAACGGAGCTCTTGTTCGTTGTTTTCCAGGAGACCCTTCGCCTTTGTCACTCGTGTGCCTCGTGGTAAACCCACCTCAGACAAGGAAAAGTGGGATAACAAATTGCATCAACAAAGTGGGCAAGGCGGTTGACAGAGTGATTGCTCGCTGGGCTGAAGGCAAGGAGCCTCGGCCTAAGAGTGCCGTCTTGACTACTTTCACGGAAGCGGGCTTCTTCCAGAGATGCTGTGCAGAAGGCGATCGTTTGTACTACAGTGTTTTGTTGTCCTTGGACGAAAGCTACCGATTCCTGAAGATGTTGGGACTGGGTACAGGCAAAGGACATGGCAAGGAGCACGCAGCTGCACCCTCGGATGGTGCCTCGCAGTGGAACGCATTGCTGCAGACAGGTCACAGCAGCATGACCTGCAAGACGGGCGTGAGCTACGAGTCCCGCAGCGCCACGTGCAACGTGGTTGGCGTCGGCAACATTCATTCTGGCCCTTTCCTTGGCTTGGTGAAGCTAGGATGACCGGTGAGTGGAAGTTTTTTCTCTTTTGTGTGCGGAAGTTTTTTCTGTTTTGTGTGCAGAGGGATTAGTTTCATGGTTTGATGGCAGTGTAGGGCTTGAGTAAAGGGCTGGCGTTGTACCAGTGCACGCCAAGTTAGGAAAGGAGAGACTGGCAACCATGAAGTAGCAGCGATGGAAAGAATCCTTTTCCTTTTCGGAAGACCAATTTCTCCCCATGCTCCGCTTGCAGAGTCGATAGAGCTGCCAGCTGACTTCCAGAGAGTGTCGTGGGTGCCACTCTTACCGAACATGCTGGAGGCTTTGGGCCTCACACGTGAGGCGCTAGCGCTTGAGACAGCTACACGGTTATTCGAGCCAACTGAGCCTGTGGATGACTGTCCATGCTTCCGTATTGTTCTGGCGGATGGCTGCTCGACGGAGCTGCGTTTCCGCACGGTGGCATCTTGTTGAAAGTCAACGAACATTTTATATTTCATGTGAAATAGTCCATATTCTACATGTTTCACGCCTCGTATCTTATATCTTATCTTATGTTTTGTGTCTCATATCTTATATCTTATGCCTGATCTTTATTCGTTTTCAGCTTTTTTTTTGCAAGTTCAGAACATTCAAGGCGAGTGGCTCGGGAGAATCTGCTCGCTGTCACCGACGGCCCGAGTTTGCAGTTGCCAACCGGAACATTCCTGTTCCAGACATCGAGTCCATGGCGCACAGGGTGCTGCATTATTTTGCTGATCCGCATGCGGTGGTGGAGTTCACTGAGGAGGCCCAGGAACTCTTTGTGGCCTACGCGGCGTGTTTTTCAGCTGAGCAGAGTGTTTCCCAATCCTGTTAGCAGAATTTTTTTGCAATGTTGGTGTGGCGGGGTAAGCGCAGCTCTGCTTGAACACTTACTCGTCACTCCATAACACCTGCAGCTGAAACAGAGGTGCTTCGTGACAACGACGACGATTCGGCGGCGAGGAAGGGAACGGCCGCATGGCACCTCGGTATGCTGGCAGCTGCCCAGTTAGTCTGGGACATCGCGACGGAGCAGGCTGCATGACAGGGATGAAAGTGAGTGTAACGTTAGATTGTTGGAGTACCTGTCGGCTGTTGGGGAGAGTTGGTGCAGGGGCCGGGTCTGCTGGGTTGGGTGCGAGGCAGACTCCAGACTGGTGGCAGAATCGAGGCTTCGCATCCAACCACATCACGTGCTTCGCGCGTATGACGCCCTCAGGTTGACTCATGACGTATTGGGCTTGTGCGTGAATGGCAGTGTGGTGGCGCCCGGCAGCGCAGAGCAGGCACTGTCACAAGCGGCAAGTGCGGCGCAGCAGCTGGAGTCAGCGCTGGAGCAGCAGCGGATCCCAGAAAGTCAGTTCGTGAAGTTCGAAGTTGCGCAGGAGTCGGCTGCAGAGGATGGCGAGCCAGGCCATGTCTTCAGCCAAAGCGACTCGCCGCCGCTAAGTGATGGCTACGGGCCTGGCGGCAGTTCGGTACAGGATCCAACGCAAGGGCCAAGTATTCTTTCAGATAGAGTGGCTTGATGACAACTTTTGTTTGCAACTCTCAGGGTTCACGTATAGCCCTAATCGTAGCAGTGTAAGGACTAAGTGTGGTCATAGGATATGCTTTGACGTCCGTTGACAGTGCAAGGCAGTAATGTTGCGTACGCTTCTTCGGGGAGAACCGGTTATTTTTGCTCGTCGCGTCGTGGATGCTTGCTCGAAGAAGACGACTGTTGACAGCAAAACAGTTAGGACGTCGTTAAAGCTGGCGCACTGGCTCGCGGTCATCAACGCAGGCATGGAACAGCACTGCATCGGTGAGGTGCAGACGCTGGCTGACCGCAAGGGCCCACGGCTGGTGCTACACCTTCCCAAGTCCAATGATCGAGAAGCTGTGCGTGTGTATCACAACCGGCTGATGGCTTTGTGTGGCTTGAGTTTTGCAGCTTTTTCGAAGCGTTTGGTAGAAGTCGCATCCAAAGGAGGCGGCTCAGGCGCCCGGGTCGTGGCGGCCACTGCAGATGAGCAGGTGTCGGAAGAGGGTGTGTTGGCCGTGCGACCAAGAGCTGCCAACTCAACAGCGGCGCCAAAGGCGAGCGTTGTCGTGCGACCAAGAGCTGCTAAGTCAAGAGCGGCGCCGAAGGCGAGCATTGTTGCGAAGCAAGAGATAGTCTCACACGATGTTGGTTTGGCGACAACTTCCAAGGCCAGGGCTGCGCCTACAGCGCGCAGGGCTGCCAAGACGGCAGTAAAGAAAGAAGCCGTGGAGGAGGATGATGATGATTGCATCATAATCGAAGCATCTGTGCCAGCGTCGTCCGCTAGGGAGAAGACGCAGGACGCAGGGGACAGTCAGGGAAGCAAGCGCCGGAAGCTGAATGAACAGCTCGGCAATTGGCATTGCTAGGAGAGTCGAGCAAGATGGGGGGGGGTTGAAAAGAGGATGGGCTGGGAAGTGGGGACGGAGAGAGAGACAGAGAGAGAGGTACCAACAATGAGGCTCACACAGATAATCACGTGTGTGCGTGGGTGTGTTGGAGAGGTATGGCCCGCTGAGACGTGCCACCTCCTCTGGCGCACGGCGCAGGCCAGTGCAGGTTCGTGGAGCAGGTTTTAGGGGTTTAGGGTTTAGGGGATAGGGTTAGTGTTTTCGAAAACGCATTTTTGTGAAAAATTGACGCAGGCTTGAAGCTTGGGATGATCTGAGACCCCTAAGCCCTCAAATCCGCGGCTCGGACCTTCGAAAACGTGTCATTATGGCTAAGCTGGGCCCCTCTGCTCGTTAGACGAGCAAAGCGCCTTAAACATCGAGACACGCTGCAAGCTTAAGCTTGAGATGATCTGAGACCCGCATGGCCCCCTGTCCTTGTTGGACTAGCGAAGCGCTAAAGAAGAACTGACGCTCCAAGGCTGACTTGCAAGGCGCAAGCGGAGCGCCAAAGTCTTCAAGCACGCTGCCGAGACCCTATGGCCTGGATCTGGCGAGCAGTTCTTCAGCGCGTAGCCAAACACTATATGAAGCTCGTGACAGAGGGTTGCTTCGGTTACTCAGGAGTTTAGAAAGCCCCCAACGCACTCCTTTAGGAGAGTAATAGGTGGGCAGTTTCTCTCGCAGGAAGCTGAAAATCTGAAACTCTACACCCTCAACTTGCTGAGTGAATCCTATATGAGGAGTAGGCTTCCCTAAAGCCTAAACCCCCATAAGATCTAAACGCGAAATCCTAAACCCTAAATCAGGCCTTAGGCTCGACTCTTAAAGCTCGGGGCGAGATTTCGGAGCTTTCCCACAAGAGTGCACGCCGTCCAGAAGATCTCAAAAGCTTCACGTCAGGAGCTTAAGGTTTAGAGGTGCAAGTTTCGGTTTGGGGCTTGAGGGCTTTCCGGCTTATGAGAGTTGAGGAAGTATGGCCCTAGTCTGGGTCATAACCCTTAACGACTTCGAGTTGGTGCTCCCCAAACCCTAAACCCTAAACCCTAAACCCCAAATCTTGAACCCTAAGCCTTAAACCCTAGACCCTAAACTGTAAACCCTAAACCCTACACCCTAAACTCTAAACCCTAAACCCTAAACCCTAGCTTGTGCTCGTTGTAGAGAAAGAGGGAACACTGTATAGAGCACTGTGAGTCTGACGTCTTGAACTCGAAACTCTAGAGCTGAAACTTCAATTCCCTCATTCTCTTCGAAGTACGAAAAGAGAAGGCGAAGTTGCAAAATGTGTCACTCAGAGCTGTGGACTATTGCAATTGTGAAGATAAAGAGAGAGGATATGCGCGTCGTGATATAAGGTTAGATAAGGCGAGTTGTGTACAAGGCTTCACGCTTGCAAGGTTTGACTGAAATCAGGGCCCGCAAGGCCCGTACGGCCCGTAAGGCCCGTAGAGCCCGCGTAGAGCCCGTAGAGCCCGTAGAGCCCGCAGAGCCCGTAGAGCCCGTAGAGCCCGTAGAGCCCGCAGAGCCCGCGCAGAGCCCGTAGAGCCCGCGTAGAGCCCGTAGAGCCCGCGTAGAGCCCGTAGAGCCCGCAGAGCCCGTAGAGCCCGTACAGCCCGTAAGCAAGGCCCGCAGAGCCCGCAAGGCCCGCAAGCCCCTCAGGGCCTTAGGGCCGTAAAGCCCGTAGGGTCCCGCGCGGGCCCTGTCCTGCTTTAAGACCTTTCTCGTCTAGGGCTACAAGGGCCCAGAGTAAGCCCCTATTCCCTTTTTTGGGCTTAGGTTCCCTTGTAAGCCCCTTTTAAGCCAGAAAGGGCACCCTTTCTATTCCTCTGTTACTCTTGGGTCTAGTCCCTCAGGGTCTATGCAGAGCTGTCCTCAACCCGAAATCCGCAAGCGAGGCTACGCCTACATGCTTCTGGTGGTGTTCTTCCTCCAGAGTGTGTGGCCACCAGTGGTGGCCTGGCATGGAGATGTCCCGATTCAGGACTCTTTTGCAACCGTAAACCCTCAACCCTAAACCCTAATTAAACCCTAAACCCTAAACCCTAATCTGAGTGAGCCCGGGACCGTCGAACGCACCGGAGCTCCCAGTCTCTTGGCCAGTTCCTGGCTTCCCGGGGCCCACAGACCAGCCCCACACCAAACGTCCCTTCCAAGAGGGAAAAGTCCCACCAGTGTACTCAAGCTTCCTTTGCAGGAGCCCTGACCACACAGCACTCGGAGCTCATGCAGTTGGGTTCTTCCGACCTCCCCCCACCCCGAACCCCGAACCCCGAACCCTAAACCCTAAACCCTAAGGCCCCCCCCGCCCTCCCCGAACCCTTGCGTCTTCTCAGGCCCACAATCTCCAGGTCATGGGCCGCGACTCTGTGCCTATATCGGACGGTGGCTCAACTGGGGTTGATATGGGTGAAAATTATGATCCCTTCTGGGGTACCCTAAATTTTAGGTGCCGTATTGTAATAGGGATCCAAAAAGGGACCATCATTTTGACAACCACCCATATAGGGTTTAGTGTCTAGGGTTCGGTTTTGGACATGGATCAGGACTTGTTTCTGTTAAACGTTTAGGAAGAAAGCCATGCGCCATGCAGGTATTTGGGTTGCGTGTGCATTTTCTAGCTCCGCATCCTGCCAAACTGAAAACGTTTGGGAGGCAACCTGTAAAGATGTTTGAGTTGAGTAAGGTAGGTCTCTGTTCTTGGTGCAAACGCTTAAAAATCTGAGAGAAGCAATGTGCGTGGAATATGAAGGTCGGCTATCTCGTTTTGCAATCTGAGAAGTGTGTACGCTGGGTTAGAGCGATTCCTATAGCACTTGAGGAGCAGGTGATCTGACGCATCTCGAATCTGACCAGCATAGTGTAAACCCTTGCGAAGAACCGTATTGACATCCCGATCGATCCGTTTTCAGAATTCCACTGCGAGCCCGTTAAAGACCAGATGAATAAGTCTACTAAAGGAACGATCATATATGGGCAGTTCTCTAAATTAGGGTCCCTTTTTTGGATCCTTGTTATGCGGGTGCCGTATTATGCAGGGGGCCCAGAAAGGGACCCCAAGAAACTCCCATATTCACACTGAAGTTTTTTCCCACGTGCATGCTTCAGAGACGACCATTATAGAAATCCAGGATGACAAATTCGGTCGGCCCTTGAAGCATTTCATATTTCCCCCAGAAAGGGTCTTGTCAGAGAGCCTTCAGGGCCATCCTGGAAAAGGTTATACTTGACATTCTCAAAGAAGCGAAATGAACTCCTATTGAGCCCTTCCGACTCAAGTCCTAGCAAGCTTCTTGTCATAAGTCATACCAAATTCGAGTACATTTCTCAGAATCACACGGACAAAAATTGTCCATGCTATTTCTGCTAGCACTTTAATATTCCGAAATATTCCCGAACATGCTTCGCTATTGGTATACAAGACTGCCGGGGCAGGACCCTAAGGGTTCAGGGTCTTGCGTTTTCGGGCTCTCGAACTTTGGTGGCAGTTCAATATCTGTGAGGAAAGTATCTTAACCGGCTTACGTTGAGACGACAGCGGTTAAGATACTTTCCTCATAGATATTGAATATGGCAGTTTACGAAAAGTAGGGACTCCCAATATATACCCCCAAATAGTAGGATTCCCTTATAGAAGGAACAAGGTACAGTACCCTAATTTTGGAAACCCCCATATTGTGTGTGGCTTCAGAGTCTTGAAGATAGGGGTTCTGAAGTTGAGCGGGCTGTTGAGTGCCCATTTTGTTCCCCTCTCTCCAGTATGTTAAGAAATCAGTTTCAGTAACATCTACATCTTCATCGTCATCTTATACATATATATATATGTACATATAGATAGAAAGGTCGAAAGATAGAGAGATAGGTCTCTAGCATCTTCTATTGTTGTTCATTAGCTTGTCTTGTAGTACGGAATGGTTGATTGTTATTCATGTTTTTGTTTTTGGTACATACACGCAACGTTGGGTAGCATCTAATGGCAGAGGCTGGGAGGGGGATACGTTGGTGTCGTCGAGGCGTGGGAAGTCACTTTACTTGTATCCTAAAGCCCCACCCACTCAGTCCACTTAGGCGCCAGGCCTAAGCTCCCAATCCGAAACCCCCCAAACCCTAAACCCCAACCCCCCTAAAGCCTACACACCCTAAACCCTAAACCGCCCAAACCCCAAACCCCCCAATCCCCCCGAACCCCTACTTGGAGGTTCGTGGTACGTATTAACCAATTGTAACTGTACTTGTACCCTCTTATCAGCCCCTTAAGTGCCCGAATATGGCTATAAGTACAGTTATATGTACAGTTCTAATTGTTAATGAGTACCAGGAACCTCCAAGTAGTAGCCCGAAACCTTAAACCCTAAACCGCCTAAACCCTAAATCCCCAACCCCAAACACCTGCACCTCCCAGGTAAATGGGGAGAGGAGCTCGTGTGGGAGACCAAGTTCCTCTCCGAAGCGCCGCCCCCGGCGTGTATGTGGGTTTAGAGTTTGGGGTTTGGGTTTTAGGGTTTAGGGTTTAGGCTTTAAGGTTTAGGGTTTGGGTGAACCGTATCTACCCGCCTTGGGAGTCCAGCCAAGCACTCAAAAGCCCAGAAAGGCCTTAGAAGCCTAGACATCCATAAGCCTATGTGATGCCAAACCCGAAACCCAAAGCCCTAAAGGCTTGTTCAACCCTTGTAAACCTTTAAACCCTGCTACACCCAGCGCGATAAGCCTTCAAGCCCCATACACCTGCAACCTTAAACCCCGCACCCTTACCCCCAAACCCTAAACCCTGAACCCTGAATCCGAAACCCTAGCCCTAAACCCCGAACCCTAAACCCTGGGCCACCATCCCAAGCCCTCCCAAAGGTCGAGAAGCTGCCCAAGTCGCAGAACAGGATGTCCATTGGCACGGAGCTCAGATGGGGATCTCCCAAAGCGAGGTTTAGGGTTCTAGGGTTTAGGGTTTAGGATTTAGGGTTTAGGGTTTAGGATTTAGGGTTTAGGGTTTAGGGTTTAGGATTTAGGGTTTAGGGTTTAGGGTTTAGGGTTTAGGGTTCAGGGTTCAGGGTTTAGGGAGCCCCCGCCCCCCCCGCTCTTGACCCTGCAATATGCGGGAATCAGTCCACAGAGGAGCTATGGAATCCGATCATGATGATCTACAACACCCCATTAACACCCTGCAAAGCCCTATAGAACCCCGTTAAAAAAAAAAAAAAAAAACATAAAACCCTAAAAGGCCTATAAAGCCTTGGGCCTCTGACCCGGAACTGCAGAGAGGCGACCTTCTGCTCGGTTTCTTCCAGTTCTACACCGGCGGCTTCAACTGGCGCCGTCATGCTGTATGCATCCGATTGCCCCTGGGCTCTCATCAAGGATCCCTTGTGAAGGTTTGGCTGTACTTACCCCCAAGCCCTAACCTTGAGCCTTAAACCAAAAAAAACGTTTGAACCCTCAATCCAGTCTTGCCCTAAACCCTAACCCCAAACCTTAAACCCTAAGCGCCAAGCCCTCAAAAGGCAAGAAAGCAAAAAAGGCAAACCAATAACAATTCAGTAGAAGCCTTTTGGCGCCTCCGACCCTCACACCCTCAACCTAAACCCTAAAACGTAAACCGACAGACACCCCAACACGGAGGCCCCCGGGACTCCAAAGCCCTAAACCTTAAAGATTTAAGGTTTAGGGTTTAGGTTTAGGGTTTAGATGTTAAGGCTTAGGTAACCCTTAAGGGTATAGGGTCTAGGGTTTGTCGAGATTTGGGTTTGTGGAGTGTAGGGTTTAGGGCTTGTGGCGTTGTAGGACCCTACACCCTCAACCTTCAGAGCCTGAACCCCAGCATAACGCTCAACAGAAACCTTCGAGAAACCCTAAAAGCCTCAAAGGCGCCTGGAGAGACAAAAAAGAGTTTAGGGTTTAGGGTTTAGGGCTTAGGGTTTCAAAGCTCAGGAAACCCTAAACCGAAGCCCAATGTCCTGCAGGCAAAGACCTGGACAGAACGTCGACAAGAACTCTTTGCTGCCTGGACTGCGGGGCAAGGGTGGGGCTGAGGGCTATTGGCTATGTACGGGTTTACCCCCTTATACTAGCAGGATTATCCCACCTCTCCCTCTCAAGGACTGTCAGTATCATGGGGAACATCCCAAGTTTCAGGGTTTGAGGGGTCAGGATTGCAGGTTGCAGGCTTGGCTAAACCCTATGGCGCTTGCTGCCCGGCCTTGCTTCGTGTGGAACCAGGAAAACGACAGCAGAAATGATCGAGCCCCACATTTTCCACGAACCACCAGCAAAGCCTGAAACTCGAAACCTTGAACCCTAAACATTCAACCCTGAACCCTTTTCCTTCAACCCTAAACCTTACACCTTACACCCTAAACCCCAAACTGGTTTGGATCTTGGGTTGTGGCCTTGCGACTTGCAAGGAGGGCTCTGACCTTGAAACGACAGCCCTGGCACCCTAAACCCCTTGAAACGCCCTTACCTCCTTCAAGGGGTTCTGAGGTATGGGCCCTTGGGTGTTACAGGGTATATATGGGATCCCGCTTTAAGGGCCCAGACTAGGGGACCATGGAACTACCTTGAGACTAAACCCTGACCAAGAACTCTGGAACATATGCGGGTTTCTGAAGTAGGGGTCATGTTGGGGTGGGGGGGGGGGGGGGGGGAGGGGCCAATGGGGACTCGATTGCAATTGGGATTATCAAGGCTCCCCCCTAGTTTTGGGAAGCAACCGTATGGGTTGTTTTTGCCCCCTGCTGACGCCACCGAGGATGCTAGAAACGACCAGAGATCAGTGGTACCTCGAAGACCCCTTTGATCTCAAGCACAATCTGGCAGGTGCGCTCCCCTAAATCTTGAATCCTAAACTCTTGAAAACCCTACAGACCCTATGCCTTGTGAACCCCAGAAACCCTACAAACCCAACGTTTAAGGTTTAGGTTATAGGGTTATGGGTTGGTTTAAGGTTTAGAGCTTAGGGCTTAGGGCGCACGCCAGGCTCCCTCCCCCCCTCCAATCTGTAGAAGGGGCTTCGGGTTGAAACTTTGCACTTACAACCCTAAGCCCCTAAATTTTGAGCTCCCAAGCCAGACATGCTTAATGGCAACCCTAAACCCTCAACCCTAGACCCAGGTCTTTTGCTGGCCACGTGCAGGGCGCCCTAAAATTGGGGTTGTTTCTTTGGGCTGTTAGGGTTTAGGGTTAGGGTTTAGGGTTTAGGGTTTAGGGTTTAGGGTTTTAGGTTTAGGGCCTAGATCGGGCTCACAGGGCTTGATGCGGTTTGTGTGGCTCCAGATTTCTACACCGGGCAGGTGCTTGCAGCTGGGCCGGGCGACAGCGAATTCTGGGCGCGATGGAGAAGACCTTGAGCTTGCCGCTCGGCATCCCAAGCGCGCGACGCCTCGTTATGGGCTCATAGGGCTGAAGTTCTGGGCCTAGTGGAGTTCAGGGAATCCTATGTCCGGAGCCTAAGACCCATGCACCGAACACAGTCTAGGGTTTAGGGCTTAGGACCCCTGAACCCACGAAACCCATGTTCGTACACCCTCTGAGGCTTGTGGCCGGGGGCCGGTGGGCAGAGTCCCTTCCGGAACCCAGCTCCTGCGGCTGTCATCATGAGGTTTAGGGTTTAGGGTTTAGGGTTTAGGGTTTAGGGCAGGGGCCCCAAGTCTCCGTAGGTTTAGTGTGTTGTTCTTGTGGGCCATTTTGGGGGTCTCTGTAGTGGCATATCCCTTACAGTAGTCGAACTTGTAGTTTCGGGTACCGAAAAGGGCACATAACTTGCAACACCCCCACTTGGAGGTTTGGGGCCTACTTCAGGGATTTGGGTTTAGGGTTTTAGGGTTCGGGGTTTGGGGTTTCGGGTTTCGGGCTTCGGCTTTGGGGGGGTAGGGGCGGCTTTTGGAATTGTCTCCCAGCACGGGAGGCAGGCCCTTGGGGACTTTTTTTTTAATAGGGTCCTTGAGCAAAGAGGGGGGAGGGGGTATGTACCCACTAACTTCGGGCTCCCTAAGCTTCCCCAGGGTTTCCTAGGCACTTACCCCCAATAACCCCCCCCCCCCCCTTACAGACCCTCTACCTTACCCTAAACCCTAAACCCTAAACCCTAAACCCTAAACCCTAAACCCTAAACCCTAAATCTTCCCTGAATTGGGGTTGAAGAGGCTCTCATCTTCCCGACTCCCGCTGTGCTGGCTCCTCGTGCCCTAAACCCTCAACTACTGCTTGCTTAATATCCCCAAGAAAGTGAAAGAGAATAATCCCTATATTTCCCTTATAAGCAAGATTTTTTGTGTTCTTCTTCTTCTTCTTCCTCTTCTAAGCAACGAGTAGAGTAAGCCGTAGAGTGGCAAGGTGCCGGCTTCTTTCTGAAGTGCCGCATCACCGAGGACTGCATGACTTCGAATCGGCGCGCCCTAAACCCTGAACCCTGAACCTGAACCCTTAGGCAGCACACAGTTCGCCCCTGCATCGGTTCGGTTTAGGGTTTAGGTTTTGGGGTTTAGGGTTTCGGGTTTAGGGTTTAAAAGGACATTTCCAAAATTGCCGGTGGGGGACGGGTAGGTGTTGTACAGGTTCGTTCCCACCCTCTTGTCAAGCCCCAGTTGGCAGTTGTCAAATCTAGGGGCCCTTTATGGGCCCCTGTTTTTTTACTTGCCCAGTGAAGGATCCTGACGTCGAGAGCTATTCAGAAAGCAAACAAACCCTCAAACCCTAAACCCAACACCGCAAACGAATCCCGGGCAAACGCTGTGGTGCACGGTTCTCATGCCCACCCTGGAAGTATGCAGAAAGGGGAGATTGGCTTTTTGGGGATACTGCTTGGATGGCGGGGGGGGGGGAGTTGACCCTAAACCCTCACAGATTGTAGGGTTTAGGCTCCCTTACAAGCTCTTTCAAAGCAAGAAGGGCACCCTGCTCATTCCTAGGTGCTAAGTTACTCCAGGGTCTAGAAACCCTGTACTGCCTATGGTCAGATCCCTTTAGGCGTCACCAAGAAGAGACGAGGACGTGAAACCGGAAGCTCTCCTTGAAGAATTCGACGACTGCGATCTGGTGGGGGGACCCGTTTAGGGTTTAGGGTTTAGGGTTCAGGGTTCAGGGTTCAGGGTTTAGGGCTTAGGGCAGCAGGTATCCTTTTGCTTTGTTGCGCGTGCGCATGTTAGAGTTGCTGGGTGTTTCTCCCTTTCCACATACTACGCCCTGGGCCTTACATCCCCCCTTTCCTCAACATCTCGGTAGTTTAGGGATTGCAGGTCTTGCCCTACACCCCAAACGAAGCCCGCCTAGACCCCCAAGCCTTTTGGGTTCTTTTTGTTTGGGGCATGATGAAGCTCCAGACGCTGAAGCGCCCAGAACAAGGTCAAGCTGCATTTCCCAAAGTTTGACGGTGGAGCCCGTGAGCTGGCAGCGATCAGATTTACAAGGGAAATGGCTGGAGTCTCTGGGTTTAGGGGTTGGGGCTTGAAGGTTTGGGGCTTCAGGGCTTGGGGCTTATAAATTTCTAGGGCATGGGATGCTGGAGGAAAGCATGCGGGGCTAGAAGTAGGGGAGAGTATCAGGGGGTGGTCTGGAGCCCTGAACCCTAAGCCCTTAACATGTTGCCTTCCATATCCCCTGTGCTGGCTTGCCGCTCCTAGGTCTTTTCAATCAGCACAATACGGGTACCGATCCGCCTTAGGGTTTCTTAGGTTTTAGGGCATGGGGTTTAGGGTATGTAGGGCATACTGTAGTGCATGAAATGTTTCCGTACCTTGAAACACACAATTTAAGACAAGGTATTTGAACTCCAAAGCCATGCGTCCTAAACCCTAAGCCCCAAACCCTAAGCCCCAAGCCCTTTAACCTGAAACCCCCACCAGTGCTCAACTCATGGCTACATCCTGACATCCTGTAGTCTCTTCCCAAACCCTAAACCCCAAACCCCAGACCCTAAACCCTAAACCCTAAACCCCAAACCCTAAACCCTAAACCCGAAACCTGCGCCTGAGGCACGGCTCAGACCTTCCTTGTGTTCGCGGACGCCGCGTCGCGTCGCCGTGCGCAGGCGAAGAACGAGAAGCCACCCGGATGGAGGGCTTCAGGGTCAAGGGTTTTGGGTCTTTTTTGTTTTGGTGTTCTTGGGCTTGGGTTTTTGTTCGGGTCCTTTTTGTTCGGGCTTTGCGGGGGGTCTCAGGTTTTAGGGTCTGGGGTTTTAGACTTTCCTTTTTGTTTGGGGTTGTGGGATTTTGGAGTGTTAGGATTTGTTGCTAGTCTTTAACAAGCTTTCAGAGTTTTGCATCTAGGGCGTAGAGCTTTAGGATTTAGGGACTCGATCAAGGGTCTGTGGGGTGTGGGGCTTTTGGTTGTTGGGCATAGGCTGTTAGGGTTTTGGGTAGCATCGGCCTAAACCCTAAACCAACCCCAAGTCCTAAGCCCTAAAGCCTAAACCCTTTAGGCTTTAGGCTTTAGGCTTTAGGCTTTAGGCTTTAGGGTTTAGGGTTTAGGGTTTGGGGTTTAGGGTTTAGGGTTTAGGGTTTAGGGTTTAGGTTAGGGGGGGAAGACTTACCACCTTGAGTTGGTTCGGGGGCCGCATGCTCTTGATGAACCCTACATACCCTCAGCCCTGCACTCGTAGTGAATTAGAGTTTAGGGTTTAGGGTTTAGGGTTTAGGGTTTAGGGTTTAGGGCTGTAGGAACTTCAAGAGGACCAGAGTTTACTGTAGGGCTTGGTGGGTTTGCCCAATCCCCCACGGGGTTTGGCTGAGGGTCTACCCCTAGACTTATACCTTAGAGTCCATACGCTAAACTTTCTCGGGTGCGGCCAGAATTCTAAACCCGGAAATCCTGAACCTCGAAATCCTGAAGTCCCCAAGCGCCGGAAAGCTTCAGGAAGATACGCTAAATCTGAATGATAGGGATCCTGAATCGATGTAAGGTATACTCCTAAAGCCCTGCAAAAAAGCAAACCCTAAGACCCAAAGTGGGATAAACCCTAAACCAAGGGGGGTTTCGGGGTTTAGTTGCTTAGGAGTTTGGAGTTCAGAGAAATTGGGGCTAGGGATAGGGTTTGGAGGTTCGGGTTTAGGGTGTTCCTCAAGCCACACTCAAGGTGTGTTCTGGGCTGCCGACTCCAGCTATTCCTCAGCGCCCTGCCCCAATTCATGGACGAAGAAGAAGTTGGGGCTGCAGTGCTAGCGGGCCCCTAAACCGAAGCTTCCTAAGCCCGAACTCTTGGGATGTTCCCCCTTATGCTAACAGTCCTCCTTAGTAGGGATAGTAGTACTTCTCTTTATACTAACAGTCCTTAATGGGGATTTTGGTACTCCCCACTATAATCCCGATTAAGGAATTTTTGCAGAAGGGGGAACATCCCAACCTAAATCCCTAAATCCGTTCATCCCGAACCCTAAATCCCTAAACCCTAGAGGTTGGAAGTGTTAAGAGTTAACGCCTACTGGTTGTAGGGAATGAGTGAATGAGGCGGCCTATAGAATCCGGTAAAGGGTATGTCGGTAGACATATAAGCTTCCTACAGCCGACTATTTCGAAACCTGAAGCCCCAAACCCTAAACCCTAGGTGAGTTTCATCTTAGCCCCCAAGCCAATCTTTAATTCAAGCCCCATGAACCCTGTACGCCCTTTTTTTCAAGCCCATAAGACAACCAATCAAGCCCCTAAGCCCTATGAACCCTGCCAACCCAGTAATAGGGTTTAGGGTTCAGGGTTTAGGGTTTAGGGTTTAAGGTTTACCCCATGAGCCCTCTCTGAACCCTACAAGCCCTATGAGCCCGGGAAGCCCGCCGTAGGTATTATGTCCCTTCGACAGAGGAGATGCCCCCCACAGACCCTATAGAGCGTACATACCCCCTGCACCCTTTTGTGAAGCCTAAACCCCAAACCTACGCTCATCGCTGAGTCTTGGGCTCTCAGTGGGGTCCCTTACCCTATGTTTTCGAAATCCGAAGTCTGGGCCTTTTGTTTGTATCGTGCATGTAAGGGCTCGACAACAAGGGCGCCAAATTACTTCGGATCTTTTGTCTTGAGGGTTTAGGGTTTAGGGTTTAGAGTTTAGGGTTTAGGGTTTAGGGTTTAGGGTTTAGGGCTTATAGAAATTGTATAGGTCCCAATAACGTTTTGAGCGAAAGTTTTGACCGAAACGTTTTGAGCGAAAGTTTTGACCGAAACGTTTTGACCGAAACGTTTTGTTTTTTGGAACCACCTTTTCATTTTTGAGGCTGGGGGCCAGCTGTGGCTGGGGGCCAGCTGTGGCTGGGGCTGGGGCTGGGGCTGGGCTGGGGCTGGGGCTGGGTTTGGGGCTGGGCTGGGGCTGGGGCTGGGGTTGGGGCTGGGGCTGGGGCGGGTGGGGGCCGGGGCTGGGGCTCTACTTTCGTTCTCTATCCACTTTCTATTAGTAAAAAGATATGAAAGTAAAAGATAGAGAAAAAGAGGAAGAAAAGGTTATAAGGAATGAAGCAAAAGACGAAGTGAATATTTGATTGGTTTTATAGGGGCCATTAGTATTATATTATGAGGCCCCTCTATTAAAATACTATTTCCCCCCTTTATAATTATATTATTATGCTAATGGTTTTTACTACTAATAATACGGGGGCAAAAATAGAAATTACAATGTGCCCCCTTAATAATACTATTTTATAAATAATAATCTCCTACTGAGGCACGCACCACAGCTTCTCAGTGGCCAGCCAGAATCACAGCTTCTCCACGTATGATGTGGCTACTCGGGTTGCAAGTTCATGGCGCAGGGTTCAAAGTGCAGGGGTTGTTGAAGGACTACAGCTTGAAGGGTTTTTAGGGTTCAGGGTTTTTGGGGGCTGAGGGTTTTTGGGGGTTGAGTTTAGGGTGTAGGGTTGGGGTTTGAGGGGGTTCTTTCTTTTTGGGCTTTAGGGCTACCGCCGGTTTGGGGTCGAATGTGGGTACTAGGGGGCTTTGGGAGATTCTCGAGCCTGCCCTAGTTTGAAATTTTAAGAGTTGTGTAGTGCTTTGGGATCATTGTTAATGTCCTGTCTTCTCCTCTGAAGGGACCATTTTCAAAAATAACTTTCAAGTGGTTTGAAGCACATCTGAGTAAGGGTTTAGGACTATTTTGCGGAGGGATTGCAGAGCCAACCTAGAACGGGGCATAGAGGCTTAGGTAGGGTCCCTAAAGACCCCGACCCTGAGTCACCCCAAGACATCTTGTGCAAGCCCCAGGCATCGCACAAAAAAATGCAGTGGCGCGGCAGCAGCTGGATGGGTTACCGGCGGCTGCTAGGGCTTCGGGTTTAGGGTGTGGGGCTTGGTGTTTAAGGTTTAGGGTTAAGGGGGCTGCCGGCTTCAGGACAAGATCGCTGATCATATTGAATCAAGGGGTCTAGGGCCGGTAGGGTTCACTGCCCTCGGACCTTTAGAACCTCCCGAAAGAAGCCCGCCCAAATCCTAAACCCTGAACCCGAAGCCCTAAATGCCGAAGCCCCCAAAGCCTAAATCCACAAAACCCTAAACCCCAAATCCCCTAAACCCTAAATCCCCGAAACCCTAAATCCCCAAAGCCCTAACCCTAAACCCCTAAATCCCCTAAATCCCCAAAGCCCTAAACCTCAAACCCCTAAATCCCGTAAATCCCCAAAGCCCTACATCCCCAAACCTCGAGGCAGCAGGCGACAGCTTCGCCCCAGAAGCCTGAGCCTTCCACGAGCCCGGAGGATCCTTGGCTTCTCAAGAACCCTATAAGCGGGGTTTAGGGTTTAGGGTTTGGGGTTCAATTAGGGTTTAGGGTTTAACTAGGGTTTGGGGCCTAGGGTTTAGGATTCAGGTTCCTAGGGACGTGGTTTAAAGATGACTAGAGCTGGGGTTCCCGTTAGCATACCCGCTGGGGTATGGGCACAAGGAATATTCTAACTATTTGGAGTTCACTGTAAACGGTTTAGGCGGTTTAGGGTTTGCGGGCCAGGTTCCTCAGCCTGATAGGTTTGGGGTTTTAGGGTTTCGAGTTTACGGAGATAGAAGCCCCAGCGAGTGCGCCCAGACTTTCGTCCTGAAAGTTTGTTGTACTTCAGGAGGATTTCAATGGGATGATTGTTGTTTTAAGCGCTTTAGGCCAAGAGGCTCTTGCAGCATTTCTGTATGTACGGCGTCTAGAACGGGGAATCCGAGGTTTACTCGAACCGAGTGGGAAGGGTGAAAGGGTTCGAGTGGGACTCCCCCGATCCTAAGCTCATAACCCTACACTGGGTTGTGCTTTGGGATTTTTCAAAGTTCCCTTCTTTCCTTCGAAGAGAACCCATTCATAAATCATTTTCAAACGGTTTTACTCACAGCCCAGTACACCGTAAAAGCTGAACCCTTTACAGATTTAGGGCGCAGGCCACGTTATCAGTCTGGCATTTTAAGATAGTCTCACGGCGACAAGCGGCAGCATCTGGGCCGCCTTCAGGGGTGTGGTTTTACAGGTTTGTGGGATCTATATCAGGGGATGAAGGCTCGTACCCCTAAGGTTGTACCCCTGAAGGCTCCCCTTAATATACTCCAAATATGGCCCTCAGGGACCCCCAAAACCTACGGGCACAACCTGAAGGGTCCAAGGTAGACCCCCTAGACTAGAGGGTGAAGTCTTTAGTTTTTTATGGCATCTTCCTGTGCCCAGCTGAGCTCCCGTTGTTCGATTTTAGTCAAGGTCTTCGCCGATTCTGTCCTCGACCTTCTCATCACCCCAACCGTGGATTCGGGCATGGAAGTCGCTGGGAGCACAAGTGCGGCTGGAGACTTACCCAGAACGGCCCTAGGCCCGAAACCTATATTGACCAAGTGTGCCAGCTATCCTCAGTCCCGAGACCCAGTTCCTTGCTGCTAGATTTTGAGGTCCACGTCGATCCAGTCCTTGACCTTCTCATGACCCCCACCGTGGATGCAGATGTGGACCTTGTCGGGGGTACCACTCTGGCTGGGGCCTTACTCAGAACAGCGTGACCAAGAGCACAGACGAAAATGCTGACATGAGACTCAGAGAAGTTCCGCCGTAAATCCCTTGAATGCAGGAGCCGTACATAGTGTCACCTGCCATTTAGTTTCCCACCTGCAGACCACACCTGTCGGTGTTGACGTGGGGAACACGATCATCAGTCTCGACACAAGCGAAGCTACAGCTGGAGCCTTACTGCATGCATCACATTTTTTGGTGCTGTAGCAACAGCAGCGCTATACGTGAGTAACGACGGTTTTGTGTAGGCTTGTTGGTGTTGTGGGGATGGTAGTGCTGGTTTGATTTGGTTCCAGTACTCCAGCGGACTCCAGCAACTTGCTTGAATGGTGGTGGTATTCGCCGCTGGACTTGAAGCATGTTTGTGAAACGCGGCAAGCATGAACGCCTGAGGCCATGCCCGAACACTTCTGCCGCAGAGTTGCCCACGAGGCCTTGAACCCAGATCGTCGATTTAGGATGGGAGACAGCGTGGTGGAGGTGGGCGTTGAAAGTTTGATTTCTCATGCCGTCAAGCGCAGGTCACAACTGAAATCTATGGGCGTTCCCTCAACCCTAAACCTAAAACCCCCCCCTGTAGAGGCAGTGGTGGAGGCCATGCGTTTCCGTCCGGAGGACGAGGAGGTGCAGCAGTGGGGAAGTATAGCTTTGGTCCACCTGTGCGCCGGCATGGGGCATGACAGCTCCTTGAGGAAACAGGCAGTCGAATCGGGTGGCATTCACACCGTGCTGAGTGCCATGTGGCTGCATGGTCTCAACGGAGACATCAAGCAACAAATCGTGTACTTGATGGCCCTCATCAGCATCTGCAGCGATTGTGACCGCCAACATCTGCACCCGACACTTGAGGCAAACATCTTGGATGCGGTGGAAGCAGCCATGCATCGGTACCCTTGCAGTGCGGAGGTGCAACACTGGGCCTGCGTTGCCATCGTCGTCTGCATTGGCGCTTCCTTGGGCCATCACCAGGCATCTGAGTCTTTGTGCGTAGGCCTTGTGGTAGCAGCCATGAGGAGGCACCAATCCTGTGAAGAGGTACAGACATGGGGAGCTGCATGCCTGGCATGCGCTTGCAGCATGGATACTGACTGCAGTGAGAGCTGGCCGACTAGGCAGTGGGCGGCCGGACTGGGAGCCTTAGAGGCCGTGACGAAGGCTATGCAGCAATATGTCCGCAACAAACCGCTGCAGACGTGGTGCCTCAAGGCCCTGAGTAATGCTTGCAGCACCCCAGAACATGACGGCGGCATGAGAAGCCAGCGGGCCGTTCAGGCAGGAGCTGTGCAAGCTGTACTGGCGGCGATGTGGCAGCATGCGGACTGCGAATGCGCAGCGCATTTGGGCATTGTGGCCCTCATCAGGGTTTGCAGTGATTCGAAGGCACTGCTGCTGGCAAGAGAGCATGGTGCTCTGCTAAAGATTGTGGCAGCCATGCGGAGGCACGGGGACAGCGAGCACTTACAGACCGGAGGCATGATGTTCCTGGTACACTTCTGCAGCATCGCCCACGACAAGGAAGGCTTTCACCCGGGAAGCTGGGCGAGCGCGTCAGGGTCGCTGGAGGTCCTGGTGGGTGCCATGCGACGTTACCCAGGTAGCGAAGACCTCCAGAAATGGGGCTGCGGAGCCATCGCCACGATGTGCAGCGGAAGTCCCCCTGATGCTTTGTCATAGTGAGGTAACATTTTACATTACATTTTTTTAAGGGTGCTTAAACTCAATAAGGAATAGAAATTTCCAAATCCAACTAGGAGGTGTACGATGCGGCGATCAGGGCCGGAGCGATCGAGGCTGTGGAGGAGGCGATGTCGTTGCACTGCAATGAGGAGATGCAGAAGCTGCCACGCATGTAGAAGATCTCTTGATACTTCAAGGAAATTGTACTAAACTAGAAGGAAGATGCACGGTTGGTAGTCGTAGTGCTGGTGCTGGTGCTGGTGCTGGTGCTGGTGCTGGTGCTGGTGCTGGCGGTGGCGGTGGCGGTGGCGGTGGCGGTGGCGGTGGCGGTGGCGGTGGTCGTGGTGGTGGTGGTGGTGGTGGTGGTGGTGGTGGTGGTGGTAGTGGTGGTCGTGGTGGTCGTCGTGGTCGTGGTGGTCGTCGTGGTCGTCGTCGTCGTGGTGGTGGTCGTCGTCGTCGTAGTAGTAGTAGGAGAAGAGAAGGAGGAGATCTTGCCTCCCCCCACATAAAAGGGACCTAGATGCACTGTGAGAGCTCGGAACCCAGTCCGAAGCCCATGAGACCCCGAGGAAGTGGGGTCTTTTTGTCACCACTCTTTCGCGTCAGGGCCTCAGGCAAACTTCCAAGTTCCTCCACTGGTGACCATGGAAACCTGTAGCGCAGGTCCTTGGAGGTTTAGGGTTTAGGGTTTGCTTCGGGGTGGCATGCTTTGGGCTTGTGAAGTAGATTGGCCTTGTTTCGGGAATATGAGTTCAGGGCTGAGCAACAAGCGGGCGATGGCGACGCTGGCGGAAGTTACTACGTTTTCTCACAGTTATTGATCCTTCTGGTTTCTTCTTGAGTTGCTACTGTGGGAATATGAGTATTCTCTTTGGACTGTAGATCACCATGGTGCCAAAAATGAGACATGACATCACATATAATATATCCCCACGCACAAATGCGTTTCTCACGGCTTGCCTGACCCAACACCTGTTTCTTGTTGTCTTTGTAGGCTCCCTAAGACTTTGTAGCAAGAATACCCTGCTCAAAAAAAATGAGCTTAGTGGCTCCTCGAGGCGAGCTTTCCGGGGCTTGGCTTTGTGAGAGCACACTTCGGAGCCGTACCGCACTCCACAACCCGACGTGGCAAAAATGCAACACCCAAACCTTAATCCCCCGGAACCCCGTACTATGGACCCTAAGCCCTAAACCCTAAACCCTAAACCCTAAACCCTAAACCCTAAACCCTAAACCCTAAACCCTAAACCCTATCCCTAAACCGTAAAGAGCCTAAACCCTAAACCCCGAAACATTTCGACTTCTTCCGAGGCCAAGGCCCCGAAAGGACAGGCTGTGAGGATGGCGCGGAGGCAGCTGGGGCCTTCAGGGTTTAGGGTTTAGGGTTTAGGGTTTAGGGTTTAGGGTTTAGGGCTTAGGGCTTAGGGCTTAGGGCTTAGGGCTTAGGGTTTAGGATTCCCCCGATTCGGGGGTCTTGGGTTTACGGTTACGTTTTGGGTTTAGGGCTAGGGTTTAGGGTTTAGGGTTTTCGGGTTTGGGGTTTAGTGTTTCGGGCTTCAGGGTTGAGGGCTTCGGGTCCGTATTTTTCGGCATTCAGGGCTTTTTGGGTCCGGGTCTCGGGGTTCCCGTTTTGTAGGGTTTCGGGTCTTGAGCTGCTCTGGGTTTTGGGGTTCAGGGTTTAGGGGAATTCTTTTTGTAGGCTCTTGCTGTAAGTCAAGGGTGATTCCTGACCCTCCTCAGCTTGGGTGCCACCTCCCACTTTGACTTTGCGGTTATTTGTTCCGGAGCCATTAACCCCCCTTTCAACCCAACCCTTGCCCTGGATACGCATGTGGTTTTTTGAAGGGCGTAGCCTCTGTGAGAGGCCAAGCAAAAGCACCCTTGAGAGCTCTAGAGACTTCCATGCTGAGGTGTCCACCCCGCTGTGCTTGATGGAGCTCCTGTTCAAGGCTGCTGGCCATTGCCCAGGAGAGAGCGTTCGGGCTTAATACAGGGTCGGAAAATTTGCGACTGGTATTCCCTAATGCCCTGATGGTCCCTGGATATTCATGCTACCAGAACCCCCAAAACCCCATTCTGATTGAAAAGGCACCTTTTTTGGGGGGCACTTTGGGGTTGCCGACTTGCTTTCGGAGGGAGGCGGAGATCTTGTGCAGGTGGCGGATGAGGACGGTCTCAAGAATCTTTGCCATGAAGGGCACGAAGAGGGCACTGTAGAGGACGCGCAAGAGGCTCCTCGTTTGCATGAGTCTGGAGCAGGGTTTAGGGCTTAGGGTCTAGGATTCAGGGTTCAGGGTTTGGGGTTTAGGGTTTGGGGGTTTGAGGTTTAGGGTTTAGGGTTTGGGGCACATGGGAGAGATTGGAGGCGGTCGGGGGGCGCAGTCGCGCTAGATGATGTGGGGGGGTGTCCTACATCAGGGTCCTACCTTTGACAAATGTGGGTTTACGATTTTCGGGATCTTGTAAGGGGATCCTACTATTTGGGGGCCTAAACCCTACACCCTAAACCCTAAACCGTAAACCCTCAACCCTACGCCCCTACATTCGGGGTCCCTGTTCTCGTAAACCCCCACCTCCTGGTGCCGCGCGCAAGGCACGTGTGGCGCAGGTGGAGAGCCAGACGCCCTCAAGCGACGCCGCGAGACGCTCGGCTCACCTTGTGGGTGTTGTCCCGACCCCCCCCCCCCGAAGCCATCATTTGGAGCTTAGCTCCTTCTTGGCTTTAAAGCACTGAGAGGACCTCTGCAGATCCCCATAACTTAAGAGTTCTTATGAATTCTCTAAGCTAGTGGTCGAGTCGAGGTTATTAGATGAGAGGGTTCTACTTGTTGGCTCCTCGTTGCATCTGGAGTGGCTGATTTGGGCTGGTTCGGCTCGATGCTTCATGTTTTACAAGGGCTGAGCTCCTGCTGGCGCCAACATCGTCCCATTCCTCACAAGCCGTTGCGACAACCTCCAATTCGGGAGCCTGGTTATAGCTAGAGCTACCAACCTTCTCACCGAATATTCCCTTGATATCCCCTCGCGACTTTATATGTTACATACATATATATATATGCTATTTATGTATATTCTTCTACATACATACATATACATGTATAGAGCGGAACCCACAGTACCCAAGAGGCCTATTCCAATGAACTCACCTCCAACACACCAAGCTGTGAGGTGGAGCTGGTAGTCGCGAACGTGCCGGTGGAACCGTGAGCTGGCTGGGCCACTGGTTTGGGGAACTGTGTGCGAAGAGACATCTCCAATGACCGGCTGCTTCGAGTCCAGAGGGGTTTGTAAACCTACTGAAGATGCAACAACCAGTCAACCCCTAAACCCTGAGGGTTTAGGGCTTAGGGCTTAGGGTTTTAGGGTGTAGGGACAACCTGAAGTACTTGTTTTCAAGAAATGAGCTGCAGCTTTGCAAAAGTGACTCAGCCCAAGCTTTGCACCTCCCGTCCAAACACCCTGATTGGAGGCTGTAGGGTCAGGGTTTAGGGTTCACGGCTTAGGGTTAGGATTCCTGACCCTGCACCTGAACCCTGAAGCCTCCTGAGTAAGTATACATCGTTTTGCTTGTCTAGTTTCTCGGGAACCCCTAAAACCTAAACCACCCGTGCAGCGGGCGTTGCGGGGTTGGCTTTAAGGAAGACCTCCTCTGAGTAAATCAAGGTGCCTTGGGCTTTTGGGGTTGGATCCCATACCTGATGAGGACCTGAAGCAGGAACTGAATTGCTGGCAGTATGCCAGCGAATGCTTGTGCAGAGGGTGACTCACGCGCTCGCTTCCAAAAGGAAAACGACAGCTGCAGTATGCAGAGATCTCAGGAATTTGAAGTTTCGGAGCACTGCCTTGGTGAGAAAGAAGGCCATCGTGCTCCGAAGAACACGAGAACCCAAGCAGATGTGTGTGGCAGATGTGTGTATGGATCAAACCAGCCCCTTGTGCCCTATCGTTGTGCAGTTAAGGGTTTCGATGGCCCTATAAACCTCCTTTTAGCCCCTATAAACCTCCATAAACCCCCTGTAGCCCTTGGGAAGTATGGTTACTCTGTTGAGATAAAGGTCAAGGGCCCCGGAGCTACTCTGAAGCAAGACCTGAATCATCACGTTGGTATCGGGTTTAGGATGTAGGGTTGAGGGTTTCGGGTTGGGGGTTTAGAGCTGGCTGGCCCTTAAATCGCACTTTGCAAGTTGCACTCAGCCTCCAGACACCTTGGTTTGGCGCACGCGGCCAATTCTCCAGCTAGGTTTAGGGCTTTCGATAAACGGACCACTCTTGGGACCCGGTTTATGAGACACGGACGCTGCCACACATGCTGCTGTAGAGCAATTTCAAAGACCAAGGCCCATTCCGGCAAGATTTCTGGGTTGCTGGTAAGGAATTTTAACATAACGATAGTCTGCTTGTCATCCCCAAAGAAGGGGTGCCGTCATCATTGGAGGTCATCACGCTTATGGGTTGATATTAGGGTTGTAGTACGGGGGCCTACCATGATCACCAATTAAATCCATGATAGCCCAATAGAACATGAACTAAACTAACTACCCCGAGTACCTATCATCAAATCAGCCCCCACATCCTATCACAGCTTCTTGCAAGTTTTTCTCAATGGCAACCCAGAATTCTCCCCATCCGAAATCGCACAATGCCCGGACCCCTGGTGGGACCTGCAAAATGGATCCCCCTCACACTTCCGCGCGTCTGGGTGTGCGTATCTGGGTGTGCGTGGGCGTGCGCGTTCGCGTGCGCGTGCGTGGGCGGGTGGGTGGGTGGGTGTGTGGGTGTGTGTGTGTGTGTGTGCAGCCTATCTCTATGTTGTTGGCCCTGGGATCCTTGTGAGAGCTGCGCAGGTCTCTTAGGTCATCTCAGTTAGGCCCTTGATAAGCCTGCGGCAGGCTAAAGACTGTAGCTGCCTGATAGGCTGAGGAGTTTAGGGTTGCGGATTTAGGTCTGTTGTTGCGACGGAGTTTTACTCTACAGTAGTACCCAAACATGCATCTGGGTGTACAATGCACTCTTTTTCACTTTCATCGCCCATCGACTAGAGTCACTAGAGTCCGCACTGCCCAAAACACCCATTCCAACCATATGGTGCTGTCCGAAATTAGGGTACCTCATTCGCGTCCTCATTGTAAGGGAATCCTACTAGTTGGGAAAGGGCGGGGGTTGGGGGGGGGGGGGGCCGGGTTTTGGGGGTCCCTTTTTTTCGGAACCTCCCATGTTGTCAGGGGTGTTAGAGAGGGTTTAGGGTCGAGGGCACAATGTCGCAGCTGCTTTGGCCTGAAGCGTCACATCTGCACGTAGTCGCCTCGGCAAAGAAGGAAAGTATGGATAACCTTTGCCGGCTAGTAGAGTCCCCCTAGTTGCCACTGGAAACTGGACAAGTAGGCTTCAGGCTATGTAAGTTTAAGGCGCATCTTTGCTGAGCCTAGTGCCAATGCTGCCCACTTGTGCACATACCCTGAACCTAAGCCCTAAACCCTAAACCCTCACCCCTGAAACCAGAAGAAGACAAACTCACAAAGCCCACCCCGGAGCTTCAAAGAGATGGCCTGCATCCCCAAAAAGCTGAAACCCCTGAAGGTACCTGGAAAGAGCTTTGAACCTACTTCTTGGGGGATTACTTCTCGAAGCTTTCAAGGGATGCAAAAGGTAACCTGCGCAACCGGTCGGCTTTGGGTCCATACCGCATTGTTTGGACGCAGCAGTGCCCACGCCAGCCATGAACAGCTGGTTCGCAGACAAGGCTCAAGGGGTTGAAGATATCCCTGGATATCCCTGGATTCTTTTTTGCGGGCGGGGGGGGGGGGGGGGGGGGGGGGTTAGGGTTCAGGGTTTAGGGCTCATCCTCTTGCCACAAACCTTGAAACCTTAACCCCGAATCCCGAACCCCTAAACCCTTAACCCTAGACAAAGCCCAGGCAACCCCTAGGCTTGGCTTTCCTTTTTTTTTGGCTGTTTGTACTGGAACCTTTTGGACTTTTGTAGGACCTACAATAAGGAGCCGAAAAGTTAAGCTTTTAGAAGGGGTTCAGAAGTCAGCCAAGTACACGTATTCTTTTTGTGGGGGTGTAGGGTGTAGGGTATTGAAGCGCATCGTCCCAATCTTCACCCCAGATTCTGCCCCAGACGTACACCCAACGCATGCCTGCACAAAGGCTGCCGTTTCAGAGAATCGGTGAGGTGTTCTTTTCCTGCTTCACCTGCCTAGCGACCTATCAGAACTCTATAGACTGCTTTCAAGATGCTTCAAAGGTTACAGAAGGAAGACTTGAGGCTGCGAGCTACCGGCACAAGCCGCTCAGGTGAGCAACCTGAACAACCTCGTCCGCGAAGTCCGCTTAGAGCAGCAACCTTGGTTTTTGTAGACTCCTTACAGTTCAGGGTTTAGGGTTCAGGGTTTATGGCTGGAGGGTGTCAGGGATGATTGGGGGATTCGGTCACTTAGATATTATGCAGTCAGGTGCCCAAACACCAGACTAATCGGGGCTGCAAGAATCCCACAGTAGTACCTGCTACAAACCCTAAACCCTAAACCCTAAACCCTCTTAAGGTCTTGGCGAGTAGGTTCGGGAGTGTGCCTGCAGGGTCTGTGAAGTCCCTGAATGAAACCAGCATATAGGGGTCAGAAGAACTACTAGTACTGTTCCCTCATGGTCCCTTTGTAATTATACCTTTGCAACCCCCCAAAACCCTAATAATCACCGACATTATCTCCTTATTACCCCTGAATATCTGTTGTATAAGCATTCCAAAATGGCATCCCTGACCAAGGCATAGGCCCCTGTGTTGCACGTTTTTTTTTGGGTCGGGGGATTGCTGGCTTTCCTAGAAGGCGTTCGAAACCCGTACACAGCCCTACGAAGCCTAGTCCTGGCACACTTCTGAGATTGCACGTCACCCTAAACCCTAAACTCTCAACGCCAACAGCTGTCCTGGGAGTAGGGTTCAAGGTTTGGGGTTTAGGATTTAGGGTTTAGCGTTTAGGGTTCTTTTACAGGGTGTCCTGTTCAGGGTCTATTTCGGGCCCAGGGAACTATCTCCCACTCTAAGCCCCAAGACTAAGCCCCCTAAACGATAAACCCTAAACCATAAACCCTAAACCCTAAGCCCTAAGCCCTAAACCCTAAACCCTAAACCCTAGCCCTAAACCCTAAACGCATGCACAGACACATGCTGGTATCTGTGGAAGCCTTACGCCAAGGGAAGGTAGCCCAAGAGAGTTGCGGAACCAAGCCAAGCCTCGGTCACATGCCGCGCCCCACTCCAACCTTGTGGCTCTTCAGGCGGGGGGTTTAGGGTTTAGGGTTTGGGGTTTGGGGTTTAGGATTTAGGGGTTATGGTTTAGGGCTTTAGGGTTTAAGGCTGTAGGGTTTTGGCTGTTTAGGGTTAGGGTTAAGGGCTTTAAGGCTTTCGGGTTTGGGCTGTAAGGGGCTAGGGTTTAGGGCTTAAGGAATTTAGGATTTAGGGCCTTAGGGCTTTAGTGTTTAGGGCTTTAGGGACCCTTAGCCCTAAAGCGTTGAGACCCGTCGCAATCTCCTTACAAGAACGAGGCTTCCGCAGGCCCTGAAACCCTAACCCCCCCCCCCGTGCCTTCAAGGCCCTAAGCGCCTAGGTAGGCTTTGGGATAGTGTGTGTTTCACCCAAAACCCTACACCCTACACCCTAAACGCTAAGCCCTAAACCCTAAACCCTAAACCTTAAACCTTAAACCTTAAACCCTAAACCCTAAACCCTAAACCCTAAACCCTAAACCCTAAACCCTAAACCCCAAACCCCAAACCCTAAACCCTTCCTGGGTTTGAGAGGATCATGTTGTAGGAGTCTTTTTTACAAAGGCTTTAAGTGGGCCGTCCTTGGAGCCCTAAACCCCTGAACCGTTTGCCGCAAAGGCCCTATGTCAGGGTTTAGGGGTTAGGGTTTAGGGTTTAGGGTTTAGGGTTTAGGGTTTAGGGCAAGCATTCCACTCAGCAGGTGTGCTCTTCTGGTGAAGCTCTGCGCAGCTGTTGGCTGGGTCTCTTAGCTCAAGGCTAGAGTTGAAGGGCTTCCATTTCAGGGTTTAGAGTTTAGGGTTTAGGATTTAGGGTTTAGGGTTTCGGGTTGGGATGTTCCCCCTTATACGAACAGTCCTTAATATGGATTATCACAGGGGGGGGGGGGGGGGGGGGGGGGGGGGGTGTGGGGGGGGGGTACTATATTCCCTTTTGGACTGTTAGTATAAGGGGGGAACGGGGGAGCATCCCAAGGCTTAGAGCTCGTGGCTAGGGGGGGTTAGGGGGTTTGGGGAGGTTTGAGGGTTCGAAGATCGGCTTTCCATGGCGCTTTTGGGGCCTTCCGGGGGCTTGTGGGCTTCAAACGCTGGTAGAACTTTCCTCTCCTGTGTATATACGTACATATTTATATTTATATTTATATTTTTGTTTTTTCATTTCTATTATTTTTACATATACATATATATATAGAAATTTATCTATTGATGTATTTATTTACTTGTTTAGCTATTGATTTTTTGTATTTATTTATTCCCCAATCTCGGTGTGGGGTTGTCAGATTTTTAAGCTCAGCTCTTCTCCTCGCCCGGTCTACTCCTCGCTCATCCCTGGAGTGACCAACCGGAGGGTGTCCCTGAAGTGCCTAATTCAAAAGTGTCCCTGGCGTGCCCAACTGCAGAGTGCCCAAACCAAACTGTCCCTGAAGTGCCTAGCCCCAGGGTGTCCCTGGACTGCCCAACCCCAAGTGTCCCTGGAGTGCCCAACACCAGCGTGTCCCTAGAGTGTCCAACCCCAGAGTTTCTCTACCTAGAGAGGGTGGGATGTTCGAAGTAAAAAAATGTTATAGTTATATCTATTTTTTATGTATACAGCTATGTTGAGACAAACATATATATATATATATGTATATATTTTTTTTTGTTTAATACATATGGTTTGCAGGGGGTTTGGCTCGCAGCAGATTGGACTTGAGTTTTCTCGGAAACTCAAGGCCGAGAGAAGGCGACTTCGGGAAAGCAGGGTCGGCTCCTGCGCGTTCGTGATCCGCGAAATCAAGTAAACCCTAAACCTTAAACCTGAAACCCTAAACCCTAAACCCTAAACAAGGTAACCCCCTCCCCCCCCCAAATCAAAGCTCCTCCTCCCCCGTATTTGAGCTTGTCAACAACTTGAGAGGAAACAAACAACCCCTAAACCCTTCTTGGTCCTCGACACTCAGGGCAATCCGACCCTCTACTGCCTCTCGACGGCGGGAGGAGTCGTCAGGCTTTGGGTTCGGATTTTCGGGTTATCCCACATGTGGACTGTAAGCCGCCTCCGCATGTATGTAATCCTTGCATGTATGTAGAAATGATCAGGGCGTGCCCGGCCCCGCCTCTGTGGAGGTGTGGGTTAGGTTCGGGTTTAAGGTTTAGGGCTTAGGGTTTACTGGTGGGTGTGGTTTGGGGTTCGCGTTTAAGGTTCAGGGTTTGGGGTTTGAGGTTTTTGCACATATACACCCACATACGTACATGACCAGGCCCGGGGGAGGGATTCCACATGCAAAGTATTCAGAGGTACCTGTCACACAACTAGCAAGATGTTAATGTGTATTGCAAACATACTTAAAGGTATGGGTTCATGCAACACTATATCCTATGTCGCAAGGGTTTGGTGGGGAATCACGAGGCCACAGACCTATCCGATCGAAAAAGGGGAGAAAGCCCCACAGGCGAAACATACCAGGGTCGCGTCCTTCAACGTAACGTGACCCCCAACGAAAAAAGGAGCACATTAATAAGCATCCACAAGCCTGACCTTCCCGCCGCTCCCGCCTGCTCCAATCTTGCGGCCACTTGATGATGCTTGGAATGTTATACGTGCTACGAGGGGTTTAACTTCTCGATAAACACGAGACAGACTTGAAAAGTACTTTTGTGGCTAAACAATGCGAAATTGTGGTTCCGAGGGGGGGGGGGGGGGGGGGGGCGTAGCATACATATGAATATATGAATGTATGTGTGTGTATATATATATACATACATACATGTGTATATATATGTATAAACCCTAACTCGTCTTTGGTATTTGAAGAAGTGGATCAAGCCCAAAGGCCCCGAATGCCGAGGTGTGGCGCTGGTTACGCCCGGCGGGTATGAGCCCCATCTGCTTGTCGGGCAGCATGTGCTGAAGGCCAAGGGGTTTAGGGTTTAGGGTTTCATGATGTGAAGCAGGGGGTTTGGGATACGAAGCCGGGTTTACAAAGGCCTAAGCGTCTGCTGTGAATCAAGGGTTTTCATGAGGTGAGGATGAGATTACGGCTTTGGTGAGTGTCTAACCCCTAGACACTAAACCTTGTTTAGGGCTGCCGTGTCTGAAATGGCCCTGCGAATGGAACAAAGCAGGAACCTAGGCGCAATAATGAGGGTTAAAGGTTCAGGGTTCAGGGTCTAGGGTGTAGGGTTGAGGATTGAATCCTAATCTCTCAGCCCCAAGGCCATGAAGCCCATGAGGATACCGGTTCATCCACCCTGAAGCGCAGTAAATGTTTCGTGGGCAAGGGCGCTTCAAGCACGCCTAGGTTCCTGGATGCCTGGCACCTTGTAGAAGTAGGCCAAGGCGACTGCAAAAGGACTATACTCAGAACCTGCGAGGTGTCCGTGACGCTCAAAAGCCCTGCACGTAGTGCCGAAAACTCTATAACCCTCAGGACCCCGAAGTGGGAACATTACCGATCCGGCCAAGAGAGCCTCCTAGTTTGGGTAAGGAGATTTCTTCGTTTCAAGCTCACATGGACTTTAGTCTGAAGCCGTGCAACCCTAAACGGCCCTAAAGCCTAAACCACAAGATGTCACCTCAACATAGCCAATCCTGGGTGTCAAACGAAGTCCGCACATGCAAATTCTGCGGTTCTTCGACCGTGGACTCAATATGAAAGTCATGAGTTCTCGGAGCATCCGGGTGTTCAGTCTGTACCCGAAATCCGTTTTTTGGGTGTGCGAAGCCTAGGTTTTTGCCTTGAAAAGTATGGAAGGTGCACCGTTTTTGCCTTTTATTTCGAAGGGAGTCAAAAGCAGATACCCGGTGCCTCGCAACCACTCGCCAACCTTTGGGGTTTAGGGTTGTGGGGAATCGCGGTTTACGGCTGGGCTTGGGATGATCTTTCGGGATGGTATGGCAGTTTGGTGGATCCCATGGCCGGAATCCATCTTTTTGTGAGCTCCGACTGGAGCCTCGAAGAAGCCTCGCACTCAAAACCCTAAACCTGACAGCCCTAAAAGCCCAAAAACCCTTGTATACAAGTAAATCCCGGTTGAAAACCCCTGAAACCTAAAACTCCTATATACAAGTTAAACCCGGTTTCAAAACTCTGAAA